GGTAGGTGAGATACGTACAATCAAGAAGAACCTATAAAAAGGCTTATTACAAGAAATGGTATAGCTATATAGAGTAATTACAGAAGAAAAAAAAAAGATTTGGAAGACCAAGATGAGGCTGTGTATAGTGATGTCCTCCCAAAACGAAGCATTAGATCTAGTAGCCTGTGGAAAAAAGAAATGTTTTCTTCTTTTCTCTACAACTTGTTTATTTTAACTCAGATTTAGGCAATTCACAAACCATTTATTCATGTTTTTAATTTTATTGTCTAAAATATTATCAATAATATATATATATAAAAGATAATTAAGACCACATATATTTGTTATCATAAAAAAAAATTAACTAATTAAATTAGAGATTAAAGGAAAAGGGAACAAAAAGAATTGGACTAAAATTCTTAAAAACTTGATCTTAAAAAGTAACTTACAAAACAGAAAGAAATGTCAACAAACTTATGTTTTAGAAACAAAAATCTAACACTATTGAAAGGTCCAAAGTACCATTGACATTGCCGCTTAATATCTTTTGGAATACATTTTTAATATTGAGAGAGAAATAAGAGACTTTATTACACCACATTAAAGAATGAATACTGAATTTTGTTATCCTACAATATGCGACAAAAAAATTTTCAGTGGGTAAATGTACTCAAAATAAAAATATGGTAAATGATTAACTTCCACTCTTTTAGGTCAAATTTTTATGTTCTACTAAATATTTTTTTTATTGAGCACTGAATATTTAGAAAGAAAAAAAAAGTTCAATATAATCTCTTCCATGCTAATGTATAAAACCTTTAATTTGTTTTCTAAAATAATTCTGTGGACATCCTTAGAAAATCGACAAGTTTTGAAATATTGGTACCAGATGACCAAACTAAATAATTTAAATATTTAAAATAAAAAGTAATCAATGGAAGTTGCATTATTAAAAATATCATTTGGACTTTGTCATTCAATTTTCTACACATGCATGTAAAAAGAATTTAAATGACTAGACTTTATGACTTTCCCTTTTAAAAAATCATTAAAATGTTGTCTGTTTAATTATGATTAAGTTGCCACAGGTCAAATTGTTGAAGTATAAATTTTATTGAATTCTTATGTCATTATTTTAAATAAATGATAAAATTATATTTTGACGAATCATAAATTTAAATTTGTTTTCAAATTAATTTAAGAATCGACAAACTAAATTATGACACGAATTTTTCTTATAAACTGTCTAATAACACAAGCTAATTAGATAAGCCTAATGCAGATTGGGATTCAAATCTGCTCAAATGTGTACGTAAGCCCACAAGAAAAAGACTCATTTAAGACAATTTACAAATAGAAGAAAGTCATGTCTCATAAGAGTCAGATTTAGAATCATTCATAGCCAAGACTTCATGAAGACTATTTGAAAGACTCGAAGAATTGAAGATTTAAAGACTTGGAAAATCGATCAAGACTATAAAACTTCAGCAGTTGAGATCTTCTCTTCGTCAGACTATAGGCCGAAGACTACGTCAAGTAACAAGCCAAAATTTTTTGTCAAGATGCAAAATCAAATAACTTCATCAGGCTACATAGTTCAAGAATTTTATCAAGCTACATAACTGAAGACTTCAACAAGTAGCTCAAATTCGAAGTCCCTAAAGATCATTCAATAAGTTAGAAACCAAAGTACCATGAACCTCATTCTGAGCACTAGCTGACTAGCCCGCGTTTCGAAGTTTGCATATGAGAAAAAGACATTAGAGGACTACATATCAAAGATTGTAACATACTAACATAAATACAAATGCGAATTCATTAAATTCAAGTTTAGGAATACATGAAAGACAAATATTTTTACTTTTACCCCTCATAAGTTATATTAATAATCATTCATATCCCTTATTTACTCCTTAAATCAATCAAGGAAGAGGATAGAAAGTGTATTCATATAAATGTATTAGTTATTATTAGATTATTGTAATGTAATGTCTATATATATATATAACCGTAGACTTTAAAGTATAGAAGGCAGTAGCTAGATATATAGAGTTGAAATTGGGTCTCTTTATGACCAACTGATCTAAATCAATCAGTACAGTAAAATCAATCTTTTCAACCAAAAAATAAAGAAAATAAAGAAAATAGAAAAAATAAAAATTAGTACAGATCTTTTTTAAAGCAATAAATTGATTAATTATTTAGGGCATTTAGGTCACTTATCTCTTATATTTTTCTTATAGTAGTTATGATGAATCCTCAAGCGTGAACTTAACTTTTAATTGACATAAATTTTTTATGAAAAAGTTAATGAGTTTGAATCTCTCCGCCAGTATTAGAAAAAATCTCTTTTTACAACTAATATTATTTTTATTATTATTATTTTCTTCGAAATGATACAATTAATATTATTTGTTAATAGGAAAAATGGATACAAATAACAGAAGATAAACTTTCAAAGGACACTCATTTAAACCTAAGCGTGGAAGACGAATTTTAAAATCCCCAACTTATCTGAAATTAATAAATAACCAATAGCTTTTTTAAACAATAAATAGTAATCTTTCTTTAAATAAAGGTAAAGGAAAAGTCAACATTGAAACTAAACCAAGCGCATATTAGAATGAAAATGAGAACAGAATCCTCCTCCCAAGAATATTAACAGAAAATAATAAATAATAGTTTGGCAATAATATTAAAAAGAAAAACATAACCAAAACTTAAAAGGATCCTAAGTTAATGGCCAAAGCTCATTAACTTAAAATTTAGAGAATAAAATATTTATTAGTACTTGTTTAAATTAAAAAAATTTAAAAAAATTTAACCAAATATCCAATTTCTATACTTAAGACACCACAATGATACAGTTATTTGAGATATGTAATTGCAACAATTATATTAAAAGAATTATTAGAAATACATACCAACATCCACATGCTTCAATTAACTAAGACACTCATAAAAGTTTTTGCAAAATTGGAGGTTGGAATCTCCTTTTACTAAAAAATCATTTAAAAACATACCAAGTGGTTAAGAAAAATATTTAAAATTAATTATTGAAAAAACACAGTTTACTTGATCTTCAAAAATATATATAAAAGTCAAAGAGTAGGCTGGCCACCTCGATTTTCTTTTTGACTCTATCCCAGTTCCCAATTATTTACTCCACCAGAACAAAAACAAAAAGACTCCCTTCTTTCTCCTTGCAAAGAATACTCAATGCGATAATAATGGTAATTAATCCATTAAAAATCGGTTTAATTCATGAGTTAGATTCAAATAATTAGAATTTAAGAAGTTGAACCTCTCTTTAATAGGTAACTAACTACATAATTAAATAATTTAAGTTATATAAATTTAAATTATAACAACATGGTAACTAACTGTACATCTAAACAGAAAGTTAATTATAAAAATGGGAGACACATGTCATTAATTAGATTTTCTGGAACAAACTCTCTTGTTTCCCAACTACGTGGGGTCCCTCTCCCTTTTATCATTGCAAGCCCTTTATACGTCACGGTTTAGAAACTTAATGCATTGGTCAACTCTGTTAAAGAGAAGCTGCGACCATGTTACATATTAATTAATCATATTAATTATTATATTTAACTAAAAAGCTGTTGCGAATAATTTTCAACCAAGAGAAATAGAAGGGTCGAATCGTAATTATGATCAGTCCGCTCTTGTTCTTCTTCTCCACTTGTCTGCAACTTAAGTGGTTCTTTGGGTTTCTATGTCAAAAAGCTCACTCACTCTCCCCGGAAAAAAAACCAGTTGCATGCGTGTCACATCTGAACCTCTGATTGGTTTATTTGTTTACGTACTTTTCTTCGATCAACTCCATTAAAACTTTGAAATATACGTAGATGCCTCTAGTTTTCAGCTTGTTTCTGAGTTCGATTAAGGTTAGATTATAAATTTGCCAACTTTCAAGATTGCTACTTAGTTAAAACAAAAATATATATATATATATATATATATATATATTTAATAGGTTGTTAAAATTTCAAGATGGTGTTCATTTAATCTCTATATCATTTATCATGCCACATCGGTATCATTTAAAAATGATGTCGGGTTTACTAGTATTGAAAAATTATTTACAAATAAAAAATTGTGGTGTGGAGAGAAGGAATAGTACCAAAGGAATAGGTACTTTTGCAGTACCATATATTTCTGGTCTGCTTTCTAGATGTTTTTTGAAACCACTGATGTATGCAATCTTTAGAGAAAAATGTTTGCTGGGTTATTGGTTACTATCCAATTATCCAATTTTTTTTTTTCTGACCATGATTAATTGTTTGATAAGTAGGAGAGAGAAACGTAGAAAAATAGATATCTTTTAATTTTTATTTTTCAAAAAATCAAAAAGCTATCCAATTTTTATTGTTGCTTAACCGGAAGATGAATGATGAATCAAAAAGCTATCCAATTTTTATTGTTCTTCTTTAAATAAAACATTAAACCAACATAATTTTTTTTCTTTTTTGAGAAAAAATAACATTAAACTAACATAAACTCCAATAATCCTGACATATGTACGGGTATGAGGACAGTGTGCATACTCCCAAGGTATAGTGGCATAAAGTCAAAGAGTCGCGACTCCTGGATAATTAAAAAAAAAACATAATCAATCACCATGTGAATCTATAAAACCTAAAATTTATAACTTTAGGGAGAAATAAAAATCTTTTTAAAATTTAAAATATCATAGGG